AGCCGCACTACCTGTTTTACACAACAAGAGAGTTATTTTTTGCCTATTTTTTCTTTTTTGGGCAGTTCGAGTGAAGACAAACGCACTTTGCATTCAGTTAAGAATTTCATTTCGGTCAGGAAGGAACGCAGCCATTGGAAAAACGTGTGATGAATGCTCGCGGGACGCGGTTATGTTTTACAAATTACTCAGCTGCGGACGAAATGCATCAAATGTCCAGCAGTTGCTAATGACGATGTCTGCAGTCGGGCTTGACAGAGGTGGGAAGTATTAATAGTATTGGCACATCTGGCATAAGTGTTTGCCTTGAGGTATTCATAAATGCAGTCTCTGTGCGCGTTCTCGGAGAAGAGAACAGCCCGAATGTGGGCAAATTCTCACGCGTGTCCAAGAACAAGCCGTTACTTAACCGAATAAATATTCAAGACATTTGCAGCGCTCCAAGCTGGTTATGTTAACTGACAGTCCAGTCGTTATATGTGATGACGTCCGCTGTGTGCCCTACGTGGTGAGCAAAACACGACTAACTTGTGCATGACTTAGTTTATGGGGGGGGCTGGACTTGCACAGCATCTACCGCACTCTCTCACCCTTTTATCACCCACTTCGCTCTAGTGGCACGGTATAGTCAAGACGACCGGAGGTGGGCGCGAGTGCAGTACTTGACAATTCGTAACAGGTGTGATAACAGCTATGCTAGCGACCATGTACTTTCTTTTAATCCATTAACCACCCTCTCGGAATGTCTAGATTTCAGGGGCGCGGGCCTTATTACCACCTATATCTTTAGCCTCATCGTCAACGTGGTTAGAAATTAAAGTTTAAGGTTGTGTGCCACGGCTCTAAGAAATCCGTCAATAGGTTCCGTCATAATCATTCTTTAACGCAAAAATTTACTTGTCAAAGCAAAGTTCCCACAATTACTTGTGGATCTCAAATGCTCGCTTTCTCATAGGTAACACTTATTAACACTCGGACCATTTATTTGCACATCACGAGTGTCAGTTAATCCGTTGTTGCCACTGCCATCATCATCATCATCATCATCATCATCATCATCATCATCATCATCATCATCATCATCATCATCATCATCATCATCATCATCATCATCATCGTCGTCGTCGTCGTCATCATCATCATAATCATCATCCTCATCATCATCATCATCATCATCATCATCATCATCATCATCATCATCATCATCATCATCATCATCATCATCATCATCACTGCCTTAACAACTGCCAGCAACAGATAGGTCTTATTTTTTCCTCTTTGTCTGCCTCTTCTCCTCCTTCAGTACAACTCCTCCTCCTCAGTCTAACCCTACTTTCTGGTTCGTGTTTATATAACGCAATGAACATTGGTGTTCATGGGAACTAGCTCGCCTCCTGTGCAAGATCAGTGCACTCTAACTTTGTGTGGGCACGTTTTAGGACTTCACTATAACATTCCTCCCGTCTTTCCCAGAATGCGACCTCACGTCTGTCTGTTCTGTACAGACCTTTTTCACAGCAACTTCAGCAGTCCTTTTTGACGTGGTAGTCGAACTTGTTGGCATCGCCAGTGTGGGCCAGTTCGAGGAGCCCCCTAGGGGGTGGAGGACGGCGTGTTGCAATCTCCGCCATACTGTTCCGCCTCCTCTTTTAACCGGTCTTCGAGGGGCCAGTGGAGAGTTACACACGGACCGACAAGTGTATGTGGTTTGGCCAACACTTGCGCGTGCAGTCGTCGTAGCCTGATTCTCATGACCCGTGCGATACCCTGCAGGGCCCCATCTTGATTCTCCCGCGTTCTTTCAAGTCAAATGGTTGTTTATTTAGCGCAGACCTCGTGAGAGCAGCGCGGAAGACACATTGTAGGTCTCTGGTGCAGTGTGAACTAATTGCTTGCTCGACTGAAGAGGGGAGGGGGGGGGGCGAAAAAAGGTGAGAGGTGTTTGTTTAACACCGGGAGTGTCGAGAGCTATGGGGGGGGGGATAGCAACACGAGGCAGAAGGAGCTGAAGAATCGGCTGGCCGCTGGGTGCGCCTGGCTCGAAACAAATCTAATGCCTGTTAAGAACCATTATTCTCTGCCCCCTTAACAAGGGGGTACTTGTGAGAGCAGTGTGTTCAGTGAAACTTTTGTCGAACTAAGTCAGCCGAGACCAGAAGAAGACTAGTGGCTCTTTCACCCACTCTCCCCTCCCTCATGAGCACAGTTTGCTTTCCAGGCTTTTGCCGATACTTTATGATGACCAGCGAACCGGAATCTGGCAGATCACCTTTGGCAATTTTGAGAGATCCGCGGTGAAACTTGGGAAAGTGGATGGAACTGCTGACGTCTTGGAGAGTTTGGTCGACTTACCTTTGTCGAAGCATTCAATGCGCAAAATCAAACAGAAATGCGAATAGCTTACCGAGCTAGTCGACGTTAGGCTGACTGATTTCGCTTATGCTCTCTCGGACCTTTTGGCATGTATTTGGGAGAGGGGCCTGACAACCGAACACTTATGAGTTAACATCGCCATGGAGGCTGATTGAACCTCTACGAGGGTTCCTCAGTCTGACGGCTTTTTTTCTCCCCCGTCGGGTGAGTTCGTCGTCGGACCGTGTCTACTCGACTTCATTATATTCTGTGTGGCCGTCTCATTCCGGTCTTCATGTACACGTTGACGCAGGACTTTATAAGCTACGAGGAGGTCAAGATGCCTATTGGTGGAGTTGGCATTTGAACACCACGTCTCAAGTGTTATTTGTTCTGTCTTTACCTTGCCCCCACTCAAAACGGTCCACGTGTTAGATGCGCTGGACCAACACGGGGGCCACATCGGACTCTGGCAGGCGTTATCTTTGCGTACTAACAAATGCCAACATTTGCGGGGTGCGCTGGCGGACCCTGTTGTCGGCATTCGTCGCACAACTGGACCACTGCCTCCACCCCATTGTTTGTGGTCAAAATCCTGGTCTTGGTGTGTGGACCAGGGGTGCGGAGTGGAGCGCCAAGGCGAAGACCCGTCCGAGCCATCCACCTGCGGCCTCCCCCGTCTCCGGTCTTCTTGACTCTGTCTTGACACCGGGCTCAGGCGGGGGAGGAGGAGAGAGTGTAGGTAGATGCAGCGCAAGTCTACTGGCACTATAAACCCCTGCGCAAGTCACCGTCCCTGCTCCCACAACGCAGTCTGTGGGGCACACGGTGGACATCGTCGAAATCGACGGTCGAACTGTCGGTACCTTGCCCCCGGTTTAAAACGTTCGCTACCTGAAGGCCAACGTTATAGCCAATTCCTTCCATGTGCGTTGTAACATGAGAGTGCTTGCGCTTTCATTTTCTCATGGGCCGTCTTTCCTCACCCGGGACTAGAAAACTTAAGAGTTGTAACAAACAAAAATAACGCGGGCCGGGCAGCCAACAAGGACCTGAGTAGCAACCTTGTTTGCTTAATGCAGTTCTACCACCATGATCACACTAACTCGCCTCTTGTATGGCTTAATAAAAACCCACTGAAAAATCATCGGAAACATTTGAATACGGAGTAGTTTTCATCTTGACCTCAATATGCGTATGTTTCATAAAAGTCGGCAGCTTGCATGCGGTCGGTTAAATAACTGAGGTTAAATGAGTATGGGTTCGATCCGGACAAGACTTACTCATTTTACTCGGACCCGATTTTTCTACAGCATACGACTCTTCTAAATTAAGTACTTTTTGCTGCACTACTAATGAGATTGTGACCGATTTCTGTGAAATGACTTCAGATTCTGAAGAAACTGACTGCGATTCAACACATTTAAACCAAGTCTCTGCATTCCTGTACGTTTTCACATTGCGAACTGGACCCTTATCTAAGTCAACGTTCGACAATTCGGTCGTTGCAAACAATGACTTCCCCGTGCGACCCGCGAAGTGCGCGCAGTACTTGATAAAGTTAAGCAGCCTCTCTACACGCGCCACACACGACCTGGCTGGCGCGGAACATGCTGGACTTTTACTTTGGGGGGGGGGATAGATATCACTTGCGTGGGAATGCCATAAGGGCCACAGTGTTAAGGAATCACTGAGCCTGACTTCCCGTCCTCTGACCAGTCACTACACACACACACGAGACAGTTCGGCCGCCGCTGCCGAAGATGTCCACCGTGTGCCCCATAACGACGCGAGAGTAGGCACGGTGCCATGCGCGGGGATTAGTTTAAAGTGGAAGCAGGCTTTCACAGAATCCACCGCACTCTCTCCTCCTCCCCCGCCGGAGCTCGATGTCAAGACATGGTCAAGAAGTCCAAAGGCGGTAGAGGGAGCAAGTGGCTGGCACGGCCGGACCCGCACCTAGGTATACAATGACAACGTCTGGTCCGCAACCAGGACTTTAATCAACAACAACACAACAACGGGTCAGATGGACGAGGATGACTGGGCAGCCGTACTCAGGACACGGATACCCAGTGAAAGCGCATGCGAATTTACTGGCAGAGAACCAGGTGACAGCGAACTGCCAGCGCGCACCAGGCTGCGAGGACCATGGTTTGCTGAATCATGGCACAGCAGACGCACACACTCCTCCGCATACACAGTGATGATCACATGGACCGAGTTATCCAGTCGGCGGACAGCCTTACAAGCCATAACTGTTGGCGTGCCTTGATAGATCTAAGCCTGTTTGATTTATTATAGGGGTGGATATGCTGGCATGCCGTGGGGATGGTCCCCACAGTGGTCGGATGAAGCTCTATAGCTTGCAAGAGGCGGGCAAATGATTTTCCAAGGCACAACGCTCGCCGACATTCAAGACAGCTTGACTGTGATCAGCGACAACGCATATCGCTGAATTAGCTTATAGAAAGGCAGAATTATACAGCATCTACCACACTCCCAGAGCCATTTGGACATACGCCGTCCATAAGACTGAACACATGTGAACAATATTTGGTGTCAGCCTTCTGACCAGGTTGTTTTCACGTATGCAGTTGAGATTTACGTCCCCCCTTCGTCTCCTTAGATAGTCATGTCATCTCGGAGGCTTTCAGTCGGTCAGGCATGGTATTCAGAAAGAAGTGGGTGTTAAAACGCTGACCATTTAAAGCGGAATTCCGACAGCACAGCCGGAGGAGGGGGAGTTGTATTGCTTTAGCTTCAGTTAACCTTATGTCTGACTATATCTCCACGTACCCATTGGTGAGAGCGTTTCAGGTAGAAAGTCCTGTCAACTCTGGCTCCATTATTGCGTTGTATCCACCGTCATGATGCCGTGGCCCCAGTTACACGGCAGCCTACTCCTTCCGTGAAAAAAACTCTAGTAATGGGACATTTGCGCTTACAACCTGTTGAGTGGCCCCTCACTGGGGCTGTGTTGTTTGATGCTTTAATGCAAGCACAGCATGATATGCCCGCCCCATTCCAGTTTGTACTAATCTATGCAGGAAATGCAAACGGTAAGTCGACGCTCAGCAGAGTAGAAGCGCCGGCATCATCGCCAGAGCCGACGGCTCAGTCAGCCAGAACCATTACTGGCAGACAGAGAGAGAGAGGGAAAGAATGTCACCAAGTGACATTTACGGACCCTGGAGACAATTCTGAGGCCTCATTTTGTCAGAGTCTTTCCATCGTCCCCCACCCCCCCCCCGCCGGGTCGTTTATATTAGAACTGAAGTTTCCGCTATATTTTCACTAAGATGTGGCATCTGGGCTAGTGTAAGGCTGGTTAGCTTAGCTTAATTGAAATGCTGCCTTCTGCTCGGCCCTCCCCCCCTTCGTCGTGAGTCATCCGGTCGAATCCTTCCACCCCTGACATTTAAATCGCACGCACGCCCATCGAAGATATGATTGGATAATCACATGAATTGGGACGTGAGATTTAATGAGAATATTAATTTATTGTGCTGGTTGCGTCGCGCTATGACTAGTCTCTCGAGACCAATGGTAGTATCGAAACTTAGCTTGTTCTTTTGCCAGTCCTTCCTTTTTAAATCAGATCTTTCAAAAGAGGAAGCGTAAATACACAATTCATTTCTCCTGATGGTACATGAAAGAAAACATTCATTCTTGTACACATTTGGTAGAAAATTACGCCCTCTTCCAATGTTATACTCGAAGAAATGGTATGATTAGGTTATGCATGTTTTTCATGAAGTATAATTAATTTTTTAAAGGCACCAAAATTCAATGAGAAAAATTAGTGCTACTTAAGTAGCCACTTTTTATGGAGTTCGGTTTTTGCATGCGGTCGAAAGGAGTTCGTTCGAAAGCCGGCATTCCCTGGTAACTGAATTATTATAGAATTATTCTGGAGGATGATTAATTTTACAACCCCACCTAAGTAATCTTTACGAGTAGAAAGCGGATATCAGAATTTCAGCTAACATTTCATGAGTTAGCAAGCCTACTGCATATATATCCACTTGCGTACGCGCTGGCATTCACTGTGCGGTTAGGGAAAAATCGGCAGGAGAATCTTTGAAGACCAGGTTACGAATAAGAATTATTTTTCGAGGGAAGGAGAATGGGCACTAAACCGTGCTGGTTGATAGCATGCATGCTCGGATGCAGTATAACCAAGTATGTTTATATGTATATAAATATTGATAAGGTGATACCGACAAAGACAAGGGAGACCGGAATGGCCTTGGGGTTGGGTATGACTGGCTGATGACGGCTAATAAGCCAGAAATGGCCATTCCGGTCTCCCTTGTCTTTGTCGGTATCACCTTATCAACATATATCACTAGTCGCTGTGCGACTGCCTGCGAGGGTTCTAGTATGAGCCCCAAGGCACAACAGAACGAGCATGTTCTGTAACCTGATCGGTGAGCGCCCATCTGTCATAGTATATAAATATATATGCATAGGCAATTAGAGAGATAGTAAACCGGACATCTGTTGTTGTGGTGTTGCCAGCGCTTTCCTCAGTTTGCCCCTGCTCTCACACATGTTAAGGCCCACCCTCGCCTGAAATGTTTCGTTCCTCTTCTTGGGCAGGGGGGTGGGGGGTTATGAGTGTTAACAGCCGATCTTCCTGCTGTGTTGCAGCTACGACTAATGACATCGGCCAAGTGGATGCGGGCCAGAACCCGAAATGCTATCAGATCCTCAGAGCCATGCTTCAACAGGCGACGTGAAGGAACCAGGCTGGGTATATTGAAGGCCGGCAAGATGCGAAACGCCACATGCTCCACCCTCGCGCCTTCCGCGATCTGCCCTTTGCCTTCGTGGAGGGGGTGTTCTTGTAGTCGCACTGGCGACAGTGGGGTGGGACACCTTGGCTTAACACGACAGGCGTCGGCACGAAAACAGCAGTCGACGGCACGCTTGCTTTCCGATTTAACAAGATAATCTGCTTGGGACATGAAACAGGACTGACCGCGGAAACATGCCCCGTGCTAGTACCTGTTGGCCAATGTTGGAAATTTCACGAGTGCCGGCATCCGATGAAGGGGTCGCTTGGCTGACTCTAGACAGTGGTAACTCTGGACGGTGTCTGCCAGACCGATCTGTTTGCGGACTGTGCTGTTTGGCAGGCGATGATGTTGACAAAAAGCAGAGCGGTTTTTTTATTGCAGTCTTTCTAATTTTTCTCCTATGCATTTAACAAACCGTTCATGAGGTTTATTCTTAGAGATCCAACTCTGCGGCGTTGGAGTTGAGTCGACGCATCTAATGCCTTTTTCGACATACTATACTGAAATCCAACGAGGGGAGGGGTTAGTTTTGTTGCGACGAAGGTCGGTTAAATCAAAGTGCGCATGGGACCAGGGGAAAGTTTCTGCATGTTAACCATAAACATCTACAGCTGTGCAGCTAAAGAAACCTTGGTCTCGGAGCAAATCATTTCAAGGGAGAAAAGATGGTTCATGAGACAAATTCCAAAGGAGTTCTTAACACAGTTTTCGGAAAATGCCTTCTCCAGCAGCTTTGGCAAAGTGTTTAGGGAACGCATGTGCGGGAGTATGTTAGTCTACAAGAAGTAAGATTAGCCTGTGACACTGTCAGGCTCTGAAACTAGTCGTAGACCCATTTACATCTTGCAAGTTCTGTTTTTTCGTCTGTTACGAAACGACAAATATTCACTTGGGAGAAAACGTCCATGACCTCTGAGCAACGTCCATCACTAGAGATTGCATCAAACACGCCAATAATGATGTTATGTATACGCTCTGTCATGATATCTCGCAACGCATATACATAGGCGGCTGTCCTCGCCGTTAAACGGAATTTGATTATGCATTATTCATTGACACCGCTATAAGTACCTAACCTTTAATGTTGCAATTTGCCACTTGGGAGCCGAATTTGAAAACTCGAGCATAACCGGAATTTTCGACATGGGCCGATGAGGACGATTTATCAAACTGGAAGCGACGCTAGACGTTAAATCTCTTCTGTCAACAGCAAAGTTTTTCAGAGAATTCAGGTGGCTGCCAGTTCTACGGCAGGAGATGTGATTCATAGGCTGTTGTCCTGAGCATCCCTTTAGCTTGCGGCAACGCTGGAGCGTTTAGAAGAACTCGCGCAAAGAAGGGGATGCAATCACGGGTCTTCTTATGGTAAAAGATCGAAATATGTTTGTGTAGTTCTTATCCACAGACTCCCTTACGCACTTTGAATGACGGAGCACGAGCTGCGAAGATTTAAGATACGCACAAGAGTTAATTTGGTAGTTGCAGGCACTAGCTGACGACCTCCAATGTTTCTGCTTTACTTCGTCTTTGGTCGGTTTTATGCTAAAGTGCGATCCCAAAGTAAGCTAAACCTATCCAAAGTCGCCTTCACGAAGCTGAGGAGTTTGAACTTGATGCGCTTTTCAAAACACAAGACGTTTTACTAAATGCTGCTTTAAATCAAAATGCGCGCTGTACGTTGAGTTTGAGCGTCATGGGGACAAAGATCGGTCAAGTTCATAATTTAGGCAATTGAACACGTAGGTTTTCTTTAAAATGCAGGCAGTGTATGATTCCACTTTTTAAAATTCTTATCCGCAGACTCCCTTACGCACTTTGAATGAGAAAGGTTGTTGTGTGTGTCCTCCAAACGAGCCACGTAGTAGATGTGCTGGACCAACACGGGGGCCATATGGGGTATCGGATTCTGGCACCATGACAAATGTCAGCATTTCGGGGTGCGGTGGCAGACCCAGTTGCCAGTTGGAGTCACTCACACTGGGACCCCTGTCACACCCCGTTTTCTGTTGTTGGTTAAAATTCTGGTTATATTTTGTCAACCAAAAATTCTGGTCGGTTGTATTTCTCTGTAGCACATGATCCCTCGTCCTTGATGTGGGTGCGCGTACTTTAAATTTCCCACTTTATGGTTGGAAATGGAATGCAAGGTAGTTGTGAGGACGAGAATACACTCGACGCGAGACTTCAGACGAAGGCGTCCTTTGCAAAAGCTGACGGTTAATTCACAGAGTAATTGGTCTGTCCTCAGAGATTCAGACTGACAATTTTCTACTTGGTCGGATTCACACTGAGGAATTTAAGAGCTCCAACGCCGTTGGGGTTAAAAAGCGCATGTGTCTCCGGGCAGTGTAGCGTCCAAGCAGCGAGTACACCTAGAGCAGCACAAAAACCACGACTCAGTCCAACTTCAGAGAAGAGGAAAGAGGTATTTCCGGGCAAGAATCTGGAAGGGGTCTGTCCGATCGCTCGAACCATGAATTTACCCTCCTGAGTACCGGCTTGAATCCATACGCAGTTTCGAGTGGGAGGGAAGTAGGAGTCACCAGGGTCCACATTAAGCCCTGATGTGAAGAAGTTGAAGCGATAGCTGGAACAGAAGCCTTATTCTCCTGACGTTTGTGCTTGCCTCTCGCAACTGTTATAAGAGACAACAGCATTTTTATAGAATGCAGCCACTCTGCTAGCGCATCTCTGTGACAATTGACGGCTCTTCTCGTCAGCGCGGATAGTCGATGTCGGTGCAATAAGTGCTTGATAGCCGGCAGTCGAGTTGCCACAACTTTCTCACCCCTGATGGATATTGGCGTGATGATGACTCCACCCCCACTCCTTCGACGGTTAACAACTCACAACTTTGTAGCCCCCCCCGCCAAGGATTTCGGCTCTGTCGAAGCTAAAGATGTGAATGGCTAGTATTAAAGGTGTCATGATTTGAGAATACGCTTGCTTCCTCTGCGTTACTGGGGCGCGTTTGTTCATTCACGTCTAGAGTAATTCTCCTACTTATTCACCTATAAGGCTTTTGTACGAGCGATCGGGTGCATTATTTTTCAGTTACTACATTGGTGTCTGAACCTATAAAATAATGACGTCGGTTGTTAGACATGCTTTCTAGAAGAAAGGAATGTCTTGGTGAAGTTTCCATAACGAGTATCACAGGGTTTCACTGAAAGTCCATTCACACAAGAGGACACATTGGTCTCTAGTTGGTCGTCCTTTTAAGCTGTTAGTCATTAAGAAATATTTTCTGGAAAGCATGCAAAAAATGCACTGTTTATATCAACTCGGCAAGAAATGAGTCGACGGTTGGGTGAAAGACCCCCGTTGGCTATTGGTAGACTCTGGATCGTGCGCTGATGTATGTACTTGCGAAACCTAATTTAGTGATGATGACTGGCAGAGCGGAGAAACAAGAAACGAAGATCATGTGAGAATTAATTGGAGAATAGCAGAAATGTCCGTCGGGGGATAGGCTCAGTTGCTCGGCAGCTAGTCACTCTTTCAGGGTGGAACACCATGGAATACCCAGTTGGATACCATATCTGCATACATTCACCATTTTATTCGAAGGTATCGTTTTTGACCCCAACCACCTTCTCTGTCTTCTTGCACTCCGTCAGCTTACTGTTTGGCATGCTGCCCCACCCGTAAACCTCCTTCCTCGCTCCCGTTCGACGCGTTCCTCAGTCTACCGATAGCTAATTATGGTCCTTCACCCTTCCATCGCCAGAAATTATATACTCGATTTTGAGCTTTAAGGGAGGGGAGCCTATGGTTTTAAAATATTTCGCTATAATGAGAGTATCATAGCCACAAGTTTATGCAGACTAATCGCAAGGCGTAAAACACGATTCATATCTACTGCAAGATTTTATGAGGATCTGAAGGCCTCTCTAGAGAAAGGCGAAGACATGAAATTAATCAGCTTCAAAGGGAGTGCACAACACTAGGTTTTAAAGTCTGATGAACTGAAAAAAAAATCGAAGAAAAAATCTGATGAAATGTTAACTGAAATACTCGGGCGTGTTTCCGATTAAGATGGTCCACTTAAATGGGGTTATGATATTAATTACTGTGCAGTATAATCCCAGAATATATCAATCCTATCAGGATGCCGACTTTTAAATGCTCTTATTGTCGCCCGTCTGCAAAAACTGCACTCGGTAAAAAATGACAAATTTTACGAACCTTCGTTACTGATTTTCGAAGCACTCACACATTCGGTATATATTATATAGAAAATATGGTCAAAAATAACCTGTCCTTCACCCATTTGGTACGGCAAAATGTCTTCTACAAATTTTTTCTCTCAAGGTGAGGGTATCTTTCTGTTTCAAAAAGTTTGTACCTATGGCAATTTTCAGACAGTAAAATGTCCTTCGAAATAACATCATATCTGTTTGTTTAATAATACTCCTTGCGAAGAAAACAACGTAATATACATACATTGGGGAATTATATGAGTACTATGTGATATCTTCATATGTTGGGGAGACTTTCGCCGATCGTTTTTACAGGACTCATTCGTCATTCTGCCCATATTATGCGCCGCTGTGCGGCTGCTGGTTGGGCTCGAGGGAGGGCCCTAAAGCACAACGGCACGGCGAGCGCCCCTCTACCATGATGTCTTCATACTTTAATATACGAATCTATAATTATCTCCACATAAAAAGCATTCAGCTCGCAGACCGTAAACCATAAAGGAAAACGCAATAGTAAATCCGGCCCAAAATTATTTTGGTACTGAGAAACTTTTTAATTTCCACACACTCCTAGACTGCGAGTCCGAAATCCGGAGAGGGCTTTATCTGCTACCAAATCGATACCAAAAGGTTATGCTGAGCATGCTTTCGGTAAAACATATTGCAATGTATAAGTGAATCGAAAATCAGTGGAACCAGTCCATACTACTTAAGTAATCATTTTACGCCGGATTAGGTTTAAACGGACGGCCTATACGAAGTGCATTTAAAGGTCGGCATCCCTGTCTGCTTGAAATATCCGAATGTTACGCTACACAATATTAATATTACAACCCCACGCACGATCTCATGAAGTGTTGTAAGTAATAAACCGGTCTGTCGTAAGGAGAATTATAAAGAACAGAGTAGTCGCAGGGATGCACGTGACGATAATTTGATACTGAGAGTTGTGTTAAAGTTTTTGTTACAGATCGTATTATTGGCGCACTAAAACAAAACGCTTTTTTGTGTCACTACAATTAATTATGGGAGTTTGCTAGGGTCAGGAAACGTGTATTCAAATAGCATCGAATCCGTTTGTTTTAAAATGCTTCTCATGAACTATACAATAAAATCCATATCCGGTGTAGGATTTTATGAGCCCTATGTGGTTTTTACTTAATGCCATATAGGAATGCATGTTTTTCTTGCACAGTATTCATACAAATAGTAGACTTAAAACACCAAACGCAAATGCAAAAGCTGTTCGAGCTTAGAGTCCTTCGGAGTGAAAAACTTTTTAACACCAAACTAGCCTTCTTTTATGCATAAAATTAGAAATAGACGTAATTTTCTGCCAAATGAGTATAAGAAGGTATATTTCGGTGAATGTTTTCTGTCAAATGTATTTGAATTTATAGGGGCATAAAAAATCAGTAAAATGTACACTCCATAAGTAGCCATGTTTTATCCAGTTCGATTAATGCTGGCGGCCGAAAAGAAATCTATTTGAAGGTCAACAACTAGGTGTGCCTGAAATATTACGGTATTATGCCGCAGACTTATCAGTGTTAAACCCTACGTTTTAGAATTTTAATTGCCTCTTCAGGATATTGACCACTGACCATATTAAAGCGTGATTAGTGTCCCAGCACAAACAGGAATCGGCAACTTACTCTTTAAAATGTGAAGACAAATTTCCTCGCAGAAAAGCTTTCGAAAAAAGTGTATGCAATTAATATTTTGCATATATTCTATGGGATGTCAGATAGTTTTACCAGAAGCACAGATGGTTGCGAGAAGAAAAGGGGTGAGCGAAAATTTCCCGAAATCTAATCAGCATCCATTCAGGCCTTCCTTTCTACCTTCTACCATCGTTGGCTTGAACTCGTTTATAAGCGCCTCCTCCGTACAACATTGACCTTGAGCCTAATTACGGAGGCGCCTATGCCCCTACTCTGTTTTTACTCCTAAACCCAACCCCAACATTGACGCCAACCCTCTTCCTATTCTCCCCCCCCCTGAAATTTAGCGTAACTCCACCTGTAATACGAGAGTGCTTAAGGCCTCGTCTGTTCCCATCCTGTTTCAAATACATGGTCTGAGAAACCCACGATATTCTTTAGACAAGAGACATCCTTTTCTTTTGAATGCGAAGAAGGGTTTTCAGAGAGACTAACTGCCGTATATTTGGCAAACTATATTCTTCGAAATGAAATTTATTCTGCCTTAGCGCTTAAAAGGCCATTTTCCTCATTTAGTCAGTTGGAATACTGTTTGCATTCTTCTGTTATTTTGATGCCAGGGGAACAGAAACGAGCTCCCAATTCGCGGCCGACTGTTGCAACTGGCTGATCTCCTCTCCTGGGATGCAAAATGCAATCGTCTGCTGCACGATCTCGTTGTCAGCTGCTACGGCGCTCCCGGTAAGCATGACTTTGGCTCGTCGTAGAAGCTGGAGACACCTCCGCTTTTCACTGAGCCAGAAAATGTCCGAGCATTAAAAACTTCACTCGTCTACGCGAGGGCTATAAAAATTTAAATAATTTTTTCCCAGTATTTTCAGCAGAATGCGTATTGACAGTCCGGGGACGTCGGTTCAGATTCGGTGGTTCGTTAGGGGGAGAAAAGTAGGAAACTGTGTAATTAAACTTTGCGAAAGGTCAATCTTGAATGTTGCGAATTCTTTCTACCAATGGGTTGCAATGTGAGGAATGCAGTTCATTGCAAAAAATAACTTTCACCGCATTCATTACCGTGGGCAAGTGACTGCAGCCGTGTACCTTTGTATTCACTCCTGCACTTTAGGGTGAAAGCGGGATCATTAAAGCGTTCAGTAAATCAAGACTGGCAATTTAGCTCTTCCAGCAAAGTCTGGCAATTTATGCTACTCCATAGAACTTGATTTATTCGCTCGATGTGAACTTTCCGTTGATTTTTCAAACTTTAGTTATAGCCGATCATGATATCTACTAGTCTAGTCTACATTTTAATGTCCTGAAAGAATTGGAGAGCATATGGTGTATATAGTATATTCCATAATGTCGACCGTGAAACCAAATATCTTGGTGTACATGCTTACGCATTGATAGAATTTGAGAGCATTACATTACCGACAAAGACAGGGGAGACTGGAATGACCATTTTGGCTTATTAATCGTCGTCGGTCAGTCATACCCAATCCCAAGGTGTGGGTCATCTGGGGCTTGATCCCACAACCTGTTGGTTAGAAGTCCAACGCCCCTAACCACTGAGCCAAGGGCTCGTTGTCCTGTCGGTTGCGATCGGGAATATACAATGACAGAGGGGTTCTCGCCGGTCGCGCTACGGAACTCACTCGTCCCCTTGGACCTTGGGGCTTTCTCTCTAGCCCCACCAGCAGCCTTGCTTATATTACGCATGGGCGGACGCTGTTCCAGCATACTTGGTATTTTCGATGGCCATCGACAAGAAAATGGGCTTGTTAAAACTTTGAACTTACTAGTGTTCAGAAATTAAAAGAACTCTGGTCCGAACCTCAGGTGCTCCGAATCTTGGGGTTGGGTTAGGCTGGAGGCGACGACAAAGACGACGACTAATAAGTCAGAAGTGGTCACTCCAATTTTCTCTGCCTCCTTGGCCAATCTCATTCTGCCTATGTTACTAGCCACTGTGCAACTCTCGGTAAGGCTTATGATCGAGTCTCAAATCGCAACGGGACGAGATGATCCCATAATGCAGTCGATTAACACTCTCTGTCAAACATATACTTTTTAATTGAAAAATGGGCGTCTCAAGAAAGAAAATTCAAAGAAAATAATTCTTTGTGAAAAGTAACAAACTTTATTTCGTAACTGTTCGACTCTGGTTCTCCAGGTCGTTCTCAGACGTGAAGCGAGTATGCGAAACAGCTAAAGTTTAGACTGGACTAAAAACCGATTCTGCTCTACCATTCTTGCCTTTATTGAGAGTTGGCATCACGTTCTGATTGGCTACCACCTGTTCTGTGTTTCCTTGAGATTGTTGTATGCGACGTCTAGGTCGACGTGCGGATTGGCTCATGAGTTGCCAGAATATACGGCCTCTAAATATCTTCGGTCTTCCTTAGATGAACAGACACCCGTAATACGAGGCCTGGTCCAGGCAAATTCGTGGCCAGTTTCCAGCGCATGCATGACAACTTAGAACAAGTGGTCTCACTTTTTTACTGCCAAGTACTATTCTTGTGTGCGTATGAAGGCAGATGTTCCAGGTTGACCACAGTAAACCACATTGCATGTGTCGCATGGTATCGCGTAGGTGACTTCTTTTTTGTCTAAGTGGCCAGCCATCTCCTCAGGGTGTACAAGCTTGTTGCAAGATATAACTTTTGGTTTGTTGGCCACGTGTATTCAGAGTTTCCTCGGGCGTCATTCAATAAGTCCAGTCTCATTTCTAATTTGCGGGAGTGTTTACTAGTTTTTTGGTTTCGGCGCCTGATCGGAGCAGTATAGTTCCTTTTCATTTTATTTTAAATCCTGTTGTCTCATACATCCATGTACAAAATCTCCAAGATACCTGTTCTGCGAAAGCATGTTACAGGGAAGTTTTTCACTTTTCCTAAAGAACCTACTTCCCCCGATATATGTATTCATATAAGTTTGTTAATTTCCCGAGAAATTAATGCGTGCTGCTTAAGTTATCTTTTACTGAAACTCTCTCAGATTCGGTTCGAAATTTTAAAGTATTCTTTTGGCCGAAACCAACCAGTCCCAGAGGAATTGTCGCGTAACATCCACAATTTATTTACGGACAGTCAGCAATACATCTGTACTGGTTGATTTATCACGAGGTCTGAGTCAGATATTTCATCCAGCAATTGCAGACTTCTTCCTGAGAGAATTAGAAATTTTTATAATAACAGCGCCCTAGCTCCAAGATAATTTAGTCGCAAAGAATCGGGTAGAAGATGAGAACAAATTTAAAAAGTAGTAGAAGGAGCTCATAAAGCAATATAGCAGTATTAAGATAGTTAGCTTTCTTCCTTCAGATTACGTTGCCCAGGCGGCTGTGGGAAGGTCCAAATCATATAAATACAACCGGAAATTCCCCTTCAATTTGAGCATTCCCCCGAGCCAGAGTGGAATGCCTAGGGAGCCCGAGCCGCAGCGTCCAAACTCAGAGAAGCATCCGCCGGCGGATCCTAAAAGGAGACAGGTGAGGATGGCGCACTTTCCTACTCCGATTCCCCAGGAAGTCCACGAAGCACGCACGGAAGATGAGTACGCGTCAGGACGGGCCAATGGTTCCACCCCTGCAGACAATGCGGGACGATAGGCGCTGCCTGGATGCACAAACAGCCATATCCCGCGCCCGGTTTGACGAAGCCCCAAAACCTACCTCATCCGAGTATTTACGGAAGGATACAGCGCCAGTGAACCAACTCGTTTCTTCTATCCTCCTACATGAGAGGAATTAAGAGGAACCAAATTCAAAAACCTTGCGCCAGTCTTTTTTTAACTGGACAAAATATGCTGTACATATCGGTGTACCGATGGACATGCGCTAATTTCTGAAAAGCATGAAATCGCACGTTTGTAAATTTATTTACTTTTATGTCTTTTACGAAACCTTCTACTTCGGGCAGGCAATAATTATACGAAATCCCAACACAGACGGCATGTCAGGGAAAAGTGTTTGAGTCACTGACTTTCACAGTAAAAGTGTGTTCTAGGATCGGTTTGAAATTTTGAGAAAGCCTTCATCGCCTAAGGCCTAAAATGACCAGAATAAGCGAGTCAAAACCAAGAAGTCTACTTTAGCTCGACGAATAGTTGATCCTAAAGAAGAGGACGCGTCCACGAAGTGCTCTTATTTCAGACAAATATGGACGAGGAGCTGAATATGTATAACCAACGTACGTTCGCGGTTAGTATCTTAACAAACATTCTATCGATTTTTTGATTTTAGTGTCACTTGAGCTCAGGTTGATTCGTGCCAGACCTTTGCACTAAACAAGCTCGACTTGTCCTGACCAAAAATGTTTCATTATTAACGATTCCTGATAATTTTCTAAATGCAGCTCCTCTCTTGATATGTATGAGTTTGTCAGAGTTTCCATCAGGATCTGCTACAAAGGCCAGACACGTTTTTTGACGATGTATCCGCCACGAAATGACATAATCTCGGTAGGTTCTAACCCTCGGTGCGCGTTTTTCTAAAGACTTCGGTGCAGTTTCCAGTAGATGAAACTCAGATATGACATTTTAAACTAGTGATTTCGCAAGGTATTAAGGGAAGAACTGAATTGCATGCTCGTGACATAATTTTTTTCAAGTCAACCTAAAAATCATGATGAATGTTTGGACCGAAGAAAATTAATTTCTGCTAAATAACTATGCAATGGCCATTTTACGAAAAACCGGGAATCTTCGCTATATATTGTTTATTAGAATTTCGGTGCTAAGCCATAAAAAGTCGTGTATTGGACACTAGACTCCACCGGATATTTAAAAGTAACCGCACCTTGTACTTTATTCAAGGTATTATCCATAGGTAGCACAACCTTTTCCCCTCTTTCGGATAACAGATTATTTCCGCAGTAGAAAAACTGCTGATCTTTTGGAACAATCAATTGATCGAGCTAATTTTGGCTTCTTCACACGAACTGAAGCGCTGTTCAGCGAAGCCATGCTGCATCGATCAGAGCAAATAATAATAATTTGATGAGCAATGTCTACTGAATATGGCTGACGGGAGCGGACTTCTGAGCGAAGTGTTTCCAAAGTTTTCTTTACTCGTTGTGCAGCGTGGGGCTCAGATTTGTCATGATGCGAACTTACCTTGTCATATCTCCCATCATGTTATGGCCCTTTTATTTTCAGTGCTCGACTCAAATTGATAAATTATTGTTGATATATCCCAGCAGTAGCGGTTTCAGATGTCTTCAGCAACCCATACTACATCAATCCTTATCGGTTCCAAAAAATGTATGGCAGGTCCTTGCTTCCATTAATATTCCGCCTTGGCTTTGGTGTTGATGGCTGATCAGCTGTCATCTACGGCTGTTTGCGTCAAAGATCCTCATAACTGACCCGGCTTTCGTCGCCAGTGACGATTCGATGCAAAAATGAGTGTATTGACAACAGCACTTCACTGGCGGTTTTGCGCTTTTTTGTTACATCTCAGCCAATGCCTGCGGTATCCAAATTCCTTATTTTTGTAACATTCTCATTGCATTTAAACATTTACCAACAGCGAATCTGTCAACTCTTAGTACATCTGACATATCAGCATACTTCCCCCTGACCCAGTTGTGTAAAACTCTACGACCTCGGTGGGATTTGAAACCACGACAGCAAAGGAAAGGCTTGTGTACGGTCAAAACAGCCATTAATCTTATTATACGCTTAACATTGATTGTTGTCGATAAACGTTTCCTGAACGTTCTTTAGCCTTTTCTTCATAATCACCATTTTTAAAGCGCTCAAGCGATTTCCTGCAGATTCTATCATAGGCAGCATGATCTTCATTAGCTTCTTCAGTCAAAAGATGACTTGCAGCAGCACTTTTTCAAATCAAAACGAAAAAGCAGTGCTTCCCGCAAATGTTTCTTTTTTCGCACAGGCTTTTCGATCTCCCCCAACAATAAAAAACATACATGCCAGCGTTTCAACCAAATGTCATAGACTAACTATGACAAACTTGTTCGAATAGTTCATAATTCATGTGTTGCCATTTTTAGTTACCTGTTGAAGCATTTAAACCAAATGGCGCAAATTAAATCCCCGAGCTAATATCGATGCTACAAATATTATGGGAGCTACTTGGCTGACCTCAGTCTGGTGGGTAGTTATGTGTTTGTAAACTCTGCCAACTATTCGGATTTTGGTTGCTGAGGGAAGAAAGCGGATCGGTCAGTGCTTATTCCGGCAAGCGGTCCTTACGCGATAGTTTCTATTCCCCATAGCTACTGACAGGAGAGTCCGCCTATGAATTAATGGCAGACCATTGGACTTAACGTTCAATGACCAGGGAGCCCGGGTTTGAACTGTAGACTGGGTTGGAATGTGGTCGGCTGAAGACGACTAATAAGTGAGAAGCGGTCGCAGTCCTAGTCGTCCCTGTCACTGCAGGTACCCCGTCTGCAGCGTTTATGACCCTTACGCGGCTGCCTGTGCGGGTGTTAGATCGAACACCCAAGGCACAACGCGACGAGCACGGCCCGTAAGCAGATCGGTAAGCGTCCCATCCACCATAGACAATATGCACTATCTCAAGCTTGCAAGGCAAAGGGCCCGGGGCTCAACGGCAGAACGCTCGACCATTTAACACTCAATAATCGGACAACTCAAGTTTGTAACTTAGGTCCCGCAAACCTGCGGCTGGACATGGCCGACTAACGACGGCAAATAAGCCGGAAATAGCCAATCCGAAATTGCTTGTCTTTGTCGGTAATCCATTGCCTGCATATATGCATGTATATGTTGGAATACTGACAAAGACAAGGGAAGCTGGAATAGCCATCTCTGGCCTATTAGTCGTCATCAGCCCGCCGTACCCAATCCAAACGTAAACCACCTGGGATTTGAACCCGGGATCCATGGTTATCGAGTTGAACGCTCTACCATCATAAATATATGTTACTAGTCACTTTGCGACTGCCTGAGAGTGTTGAGCACCAGGCCCAACGGGGCGAGCATGTCCCGTAACTTGACCAGTGAGCGCCGCTTCATCATATATATACTTTACATGCATATATATATATATGCAGAATGTTATTATCGGCAACGACAAGGGAGACTGGAATGGCCACTTCGGGATTATTTATCGTCGTCGGCCAGTCATACTCAACCCCGAAGTGTGGAACACCTGGGGCTCTAACTCGCGACCTGTTAGTTTGTTTGTATATGTGTTTTGAAAGATGGACATCCCAAGAAAGTAAAATAGGAAAGGATGGAATCATTTGGGAAAAACATGATCTTTGTGCAACTTTTCCAGTTCGGCCACCCACTTTGGGTAATGGGCAAAAACAAGTAACTATTTGGCCTTTTCTAACAAATGATTCTACGGTTGATCGACCTCTGAGCAAATACGCGTCCATTGCACCTTGTCACCTCTTCGGGATTGGCCATGCTTGTTTGAATGTGTCCTTGAGGACGTTGTGTGTGTCATCTAAACTGATATGCCGATTGATATACGTCTCATCTGGCTACATTGCCTCTGGGGATTTACGGCCTTTCCTCACTGGGCAGGCGCCGACAGTCAGTGTTCTCCCACGCATATGTTCGCCCAGCATATGCATGATCACCTAGGAAGGATGGTCTTGTCTCCTCACCACTAACTCTTGTTCATGTATAGGGGTTGAGGCAGATTTCCTAGTTTGTCAATAATAGGCGACATTACAAATGGCACATGGGATTTTGCAGACACCTTTTCTATTGAGGTAACTAACCCTGACCTTGGGATGCACAAGATGTGTGCGTAAGGTAGTATTCGGTTGATGTGCCACTTGTTTTTGCTGACTTGCTAGCTTTCCTTCAACAAGTTCAGCCATATTTTTCATGCATATGAGTGTCCATCAGAGCGGCCGTAGCATTGCAAATGTCCTTGAATACTTGCTGATTCATGCAGTGACGTACAAAATCATGCTTGAAAAGGTATCTCATTTCCGCTCGATAACTTGCTTCGTCGTAGAAGTGCGTTTTGGCTTAACCCCGAAGGCTGCAGACAGGACTGCGCTTGTGAGACACAGGGTGGTTACTTTTGGAATGAAGGCTATCGCCTGAACATGTCTTTGCGTTAAACTGGTGTGTGGAGTGATCCATCAGTGTTTTTGACTTGCAAGAACATCCAGGAATGGAAGCTGTTCATCCAGTGAAATCGTTTTCTGGAAATACAGAACTAAGGTTCGTATGAAGGTGACTAACGTGTAACCTACACAGCATAGTCCGAGATTTGGGCTAACATCGTGGAGAGTCGAGGTGAGGAGTGAGATTACATCAAATGATACTTTTCTCTCGTCAGCTGCAACTCAGAGTTCTATTAATTCTTTTAATTCGCCTAGAGATTCTTCTGAATCTTCAACGGCATTCTCGGTGTTCTGCGTAAGTGGATGAAGTTAGTGAAATAGCCACTTTGAAATCGCATATTTTAGCGTACCGATTAGGGAAACTATCGCGCGTATAATAAATGTGTAAAAAATTTTCTATTTCAAACGAGCTCCTTTGCACAGATAACCGTCGAGGAAGAGTTTGCTCAGATATGACAGAGTGAGATCTTCCATAAGATTAAATTAGTCTACCAAACTGGATCGAGTGAAGTCCAAAACCTGCTCGAGAAGTTCGTGACCAATTACCATTACCAACCTCGGAAATTCCGGGTTTATGAGGAGTTGTGCATGCAATTTTATCGAGACCGCCATCCCTTACAGTTAGTTGAATATCTAGACAAAACAACAGTACCTGTCTCACTAGATGAACGATAAAACAAGGAAAGTATTTTAGAGAGAAAAACATATGACCATTTCCCATATAACGCATGAAAACAGAAGTGTTGGCGAAGGTCCTCAAGAATCCTTACTACAGTGAAATAAAATGCGTTTCTTAACGGAATGAAATGCAGTCTTCTCGAGTCAAAGTGCCCAAACTTTCTCACAAACTTGGATTCCATCGTATCATCGGCAAACCTCACGAAAAACGAATGTTCGACAATCTGACAGAGTACTATGCAGGTCTTAAAAGATCAGACTCTATCACATGAAGAAGGACAGAAAGACATTAAAGATCTCAAAGCGTAGAGAAATGTTATCATTTTCCCACGGACTATAGAAATATGCAGATGTCATCGACTGGTAAATTGATGGGGACAATGTACAGACGAACTTCTCTAGTTCTGCCACAAAGATAAGCCAACAGCTGCTTTATCTGAACTCCTAAACCATTGTCTAGGAACCAACTTTTCACTCTCCTAGGAATATCACTAAGAGGGAGAACCCCTGTGGAGTCGCCTATTTCTGGCTTTCTTGCCGAAGTACGAACGCAGACATTAGGAGCTAAGCCTGTTCTGTTAGGTTAAAGATGCATTCAAGGGGTTGACAGAAACTTGCATTTTTAGATACCATCTTACAATGAAAGGCCGACGCAAAATTACGCTCACTAGTTTACCGCGAAGAAAATTAGGCGGAAGTCATTCTACATTACGGGAGCAATCGAAAGTCCGACCGATGCGAACGACGTCCCCCACCACGTGACCGACGGTGTGCGTATAGGTTAAGCAGAATGTTATTAACGACAAAGACAAGGGAGCCCGGAATGGCCATTGCTGTCTTATTAGCCGTTGTCAGCCAGTCACACTCAACCCCGAGGTGTAGAACACCTGGTGCGCGAACTCGCGACCTGCAAGTTAAAAGTCCGACGCCTCTAACCACTGAGCTACGGGATCGTTGTCCTGTCGGTTTCGATCGGGAATATACAATGGTAGAGGGACGTTCACCGATCGTTCTTACGGAACTCACTCGTACCGTTGCGCCTTAGGGGTTCTCTCTCGAGCCCAACCACCAGCCACACAGCGGCACATGATATAGGCAATATGCTATTACCGACAAAGACAAGGGAGGCTGGAATGGCCATTTCTGGCTTATTAGCCGTCGTCAGCCAGTCACACCCAACGCCAAGGTGCGGAACGCCTGGGGCTCGAACTCGCGACCTGGTAGTTAGAAGTCCACGCCTCTAACCACTGGGTCACGGGCTCGTTGTCCTGTCGGCCATTCCAGTCTCCCTTGTCTTTGTCGGTAATGCCATTCTGACTATATATCATGCGCCGCTGTGCGGCTGCTGGTTGGGCTCGAGTGAGAGCCCTTAAGGCACAACGGAACGAGTGAGTTCCGCATGAACGATCGGTGAGCGCCAGATAGCAGGTGTCAGACTTCCCAGTCTTACTCACTAAACGCGAGGTTACGGCATACGAGAACGAGGGCTCGAAGGGCGCCGGAATTAAAGATGTCTTGCAGTTTCCTCCGCGGTGTGGAGCAAAGCAATTGGACTGGTTCTTGCTCTTAACCATGGTAAACAGTTCCTTGGCAGGAAACCATGCTTTGTCAGTGCGGTATCGTTTTCGCAGCTCGTAGACCACAAAGTTCCTTGAATCGATCTCATTGGCAAGCTGCGTGAGTTCATTTTGGGGCCATCCAGTAAAGAGAAAGTATACGGTGTTGTAGCAATTCCTTGGCTGTTACTTGGTGCGAAGCTCAGTATCTCTGGTGAAATTACGAAAGTGCTTTTCAGTTTTGTTAGATAAGACGTCTACATGTGAAGGTGATTGGCCAGAAAAAATAACTTCAACGGTCCCACTAATGTCTTTAAATGACTTGAAAAAACAAACATAAGTCTTTAAGGCTATATGATGAAGCCTAACCACAGGTGGTACTAGAGCCATTCATCTACCCCGTCGCCACCGTGCGGAATAGAGCCCTCCACGACAAGAATTGCACGCTCCGGCAGATCAGACTTAACAGGCCTTTAAATGCCATTTGTCTCTGCCGAAGGTCCTCTTTGAGTATTTAGGATATTCTATCCAGTCCGTTCAGACTTTATCAATAGGACCACCCTCTTTAGAATTTCGCCAGTTACCTGATGTTGGAATCTTCCTATGATTTCTCCTGTGGGGTGGATTATCCTCATCATGAATGTTCCTTCGCCTTTATTCAGTTTATTGCAAGTAACACCACTTGTTTTACACAGTCCTTGTGGTCAGTAACGATCTAGCCATACTGGTTGCATTCAGTTCGCGGGCGTTTCTCGGTGCCGAAGACTATTGAAGTAGACGAAAGTCCTACTAACAAAATATAAGCAGGTGAAAATAATTGATAACACAAACGCGAGCCCAGTAAAAGATGCATTCTCAACACCACCGGGGGGAAGAACTTCGTCACCGTAATGGAGGGTCCAGGTGTGCAGAATGACGAGCCGCTACGATGTGACTCTATGCGTCTATGTTGAAAACGGATAAACTTATTCCCCCGGTGACTCAGTGAAACCTGAGGATGGGCAGGACTTCGTGAATTCCGCCGGGATTGGCCAAAAACTCGAGAAGCACGTTCGGAAGCCTACTGACCTCGCTGGGTATCGTATCTTCCGTGACACAAGTATGGATACAACGCGCCCCAACCCCGCCAATATACACCACAGCCTATCAAGATCTCTCCATTGCTAAAATATCTGCAAAGCCAGGATTGGCTCCAATCAAAACACTGGTATGAACGCCATTAACAGCGTGAGCACCTATCAAGCAGAGCCAGCAACGCCAAATGCGTAAGAAATACTGTGTACGCGGGCACGCCCACAAAAATCTGCCCGAGTGTCGCAGGCACGCAGGTAAATGTGACAAGATCGCAGTTCTCAAAAATCCGCGAAGCAATGAAGCGCATCCATAAAACGCAAGGCTGAACGTGAGGGCGGAGAACAAATATGTATGCAGCTACCCTCAAGAGTAGACGAAACACGAAGTCATAGTAGCACATCAACACGGGTGTCAAACGCGTTAAGAAAGATGCGCAGACCGTGCAAGCTAGCGCCACAGCTTTCGGGCGCACAGGCACCATGCTCTTCAGCAGAACCCTTGTACTTTGAAGGCTTGTTGCACACAAGGACAGCTTGGGAGAAAGAACTTTTTTGAATAAAAAAAAATGAAAAGAAAGTAAGGAGGGAAAGGCAACAAGTTCTAAGTATAAATGCCACGTTCTACCTGTTCACATATTCTTTTGACCTTTTCGTTAAAAAACTCAAAGTTAAAGGGTTGGTTCTGAGAATAGAAAGGGTTTTTCAACACATAGTCAGTGTAGGCTGAATATACTAATTTCAGGGCGTCTCGCGCGGCGGCAGGTATCCGATGATCGGTGACAAGAAGGAATTTGGCCCCGGTTATGGATTCGTAACAATGCAGACGGCACTCTGAGGTCTCCAGGGTCTGAATTCCAGAGCCATGTGAATATTGCCTGGTTTTTTCATCGCTCTTCGGTAGCGCAGTAACAGGTGTCAGGATTCGCGACATGTGATGAATGGCCTGGAACATGCTAGCCAAGGTGATGCGATCGTTGGGACTAAGTGGCGGGAGACCGAAATTAATTGTGATTGGAAAATTTGACGGGTTCGAGAAAAGCTAAAAAACGGGATAAAGCGGCGTGAAAACTTTGAAAAATGTATGTTAGGCATTTACAGTGGCAGATGACTTTACGGTCACCCGGGGAAAGAGGGCGAAAACTGGCGTAGACTAATGGCCTCTCCCCCTTACTAACTGTTCAGAAAAAGACACGAGAAAAGTCTACTGGGTCCTCCCGGTGCGAGAATGCAAGGCTCGTCATTTCCCCGGAGAGGAGTTTGTTTAATGTTTGGCCCAAGGTGCTCATCAAAAATCCTGATTTATAGAGTGGACCAGGTCGACATTAGGTATCTAACCGTAAACTCTAGGACCGAGAGACCTCGTTTTCACTTTTTTGCCACAAACAGGACGGGCGAGGATGGGCGAGCAGGCGGCCATGTATGCCGACATTTTGATTACGACAAAGTGCTTAAAAGAGGCAACGATGAAACATGCAGAACTTAATGATATCATCAAGCTTTGTGACCTCCTACTCAACTGCGTACGGTCATTACATATCAGTGAGATAAACTATTCAATAAGAGAGCGACGTAGATGGATGACTGCACACAGTTCAATAAGAGGTCATGAAATTTTAGGACGTCGTTAAAGTCTGCATGTCTCGCCCTCTTCGTCTTGTAAAATTTATAAGAAGTAAACAAATCCAAAAAAATCTACTGAGTCTTTGAGTGCGCAAATTCTCTAGAAAAGGGACCACGGAGCTGGTAATTTGTAGGGGAGGACTGGAGACTGAGGTCTGGCACAAAAAGTACCCAACAAATGGTAACAAAGCTCGATTACGGCATCGCGTTATGACGACTATTCATCAAGTCTGCTTGTCCTCGCCGTATCGCGACCAGGTCCTTGAACTAAAACGTTAGAAATAACCCCGAACAGGCACACTGGGTGGCTGTTCGGGATCAATTTGACCTCGAAATCTCCAAGAAGCACCAGGAAATGACTGGTACAAGCGTGACGATCCATGCAACAACGTCCACGAGAACCGGCGCGTTCTGTAAGCTTGGCCCATTGATACTAGGCAAACAGTGTACTATTTGAATTACTCAATCTGATATTCAGTACAAGGGTGTGTGAGCATTCTTCGGTATAAAAGGCTGACGACGCGCGACCATCGTTTTACGTGGATTTCTGTCGTTGTCTGTCTGGAGCTTTGATCTCCAACTAAGAATCTCGAGACACCATGACTCGGAGGTCCAAAGTTGCTTCAACTTCGGTCACGGAGGCCTACGCGACTCTTCGACCAGACATGGTGATGAAATTGTTCCCTCGCAACAGGTAGGTCACGCACTGTTCGCACAGGAACTAGTCAGTGACCGGCTAACTTGCCCAAAACGGAAGAGACATCTAGCTAGTATACCTGTCGTTTCTATTCATACATAAGCAACACACTGCAACGAAAATGACAGCACGATCATTGAGACAGTACGTGCATTAGACTGAGCTTTCAGCCTATTGTACGAGATCGAAAGCTCGGGCTGATGCATGTACTGTCCCAGTGATCGCGCGTTCATCTTCTTTGGGACAAGAACCTGGGACTCGCATATTCGCTTCTTTCGTGAAACAACATACTCAACACTATATGAATCTGCCAAGGGCCTCTCTTACCGTGCTGACTGATGTTGGGAGCTGGAATGGTTTAAGAGGCGCCCGTTTTTCAAAACTCCCATTATTGGTTGCTGTTAAGGGAATGTTAAAACTGATAGATATATCTCACCGGTTTTTTGGTTGGGTTTGAAAGGTCACTAAAGATGCCAAATTAACTACTGCCATCTTTAAGCTTAGTTTCAAAAAATGGTGAAGGGGTGTCGAGTTTCACTGGATGGAACCTTTTGTTTGCCACCAACTTGTGCTTTCGGCATCGTCGTAATCAAGTACAAACCTGGCATACAAAGGATGTTCGTAATGTCACTCAGATTCACTAAATCCTTGTCAGTTTAGGATATGGCAGCTGCATTAATGATGACAGATTGACGAGGTGCCGAAAGTGACAATGGATATGGGTTCGATCATGTAGTCGTTCGTATGTGTTCGAAAGTTTGTCTCCTATCCATACCCTAAATGACTCATGCAATATGCCTTGATATTCCAAATTAATAACAACCAGAAACGTCAGGACAGACATCTAGTTCTGATCTGCTGACCGAATTGAAAACGAAAACAGCAGCGCCTGGTCAACAGTAAAGTTTTCAATCACAGGCAGTTAAGAGGATTCTCGAACTCACGTCGCAGGCCCACTAGAACTGGGTCACCCTAGGGGACTTACAGTCTTTCACCCAGACAGTTCGGTCCAGAGTCCGCAAAGACTATTATTTGAGTCTACTGAATAAAGTGGTGGCAAAGTGGGCTAGTGATTGTCACAAAAATGCCAGGGTTGTTGTGGCGACCTCCGTGGATCCGATCTCAAATGCCGAAAGTAGTATAGTACCACCAAATTATCAACCAAGCAAGCGGTAAACTTGCTGAACTTGACGACGTGAATTGAAGCTATTTTTTAACAACTCAAAAAGACCGAGCGCTCTCTTAACTTTGCTGGATAAGCCATAATTCCCCTCCGCTACGCAGCAGATTTTTTACTTATCTCCAGTGTTCGTGGCGTCGTGAGACCCCCTTCTCATGAATAAATCGTGGTCACAACCCTCTCATGAATAAATCGTGGTCACAACCCTGAGGCCATGCAACAGAAGCCCGACCGGAGAAGACATCCTCGCTCAAGTCTAGGAGCATTATGCTCAAACTTGGGTGCCTGGCTCCAGGAGGCATGAGAATAGACCGTCTATAATGACCGGGGCGCAGCCATCTTTGTGCACAACTTCCGTACAGGAGAAAAGATAAAGCGCGATAACTACCGTGGTATATATGGACATTTGTGTAATGGCTTTTGTCAGTTTTAATCGCAAACGGTTTTACAGTATGCATGGCATGACAAAACGCAACTAAAACAGGCTCTGGGCCAAATATGAATACATCGAGAAAGGATCTGCACTGTGGTGTATTGTTGAAGTCAGTCATGGGGAGGAGCAACGGACTCCCACCAGCTTTGCGAACTTCACTACAGCGTTCGGGTCCGTCTGTCGCAAGACCCCTACGGCAAATGATGAGACTCGAAGGTATGCGAACACATCGTCCATCTGTCAGGAAACACTATTGCTCTATTTAACAACAATCTCACCCAATCGTTCAAATTTTGCCCTGGCAATCGACAAGGACGCATTCTGTGCCACATCCCAATGAACCATGTTATTGACTAGTTTTCCAAGACGGTGTTTCATGGTCTCGCTGTGGTCGAATTTGTACCCGGATGCCAGTCAGTTGACCCTGATTGAGCTGATGTCCTTCTGCTAGCGTCAAATGATAACGTGAAAAATAGCGATTAATGAGGTCATTAGATCAATCGGTTTCGGCATGAACACTGGGAAGGTTAAAATGTTTTTTGAAAACATAAAGGCACTCTACAACCCTTATAGCCTTTAGTCGCCCAGAGCTAGACATTTGCAAGCCCGTTTGACTTGCGGGCTAGTGCAGGGCTAGTAACCTGACTGGCTAACAATGCTCGATCTGTGCGGGGAAAGGAGCTTTTCTGCTACACTCCCTCCTTGATGCTCGCCCGAGTGAATTTTGCACGTCACGTCTGGGGAGTCCCTTTGCGCGTACGCACGCATGCAGGGTGCACGGACGCACTTTGTCCGGAATTTAGGCCCCTGTCTGGCGACTTAAGTCGCCATAAGCATATCAACCTCTACAGCGGGAGATTTGGCGCTCATAAAAAAGGACGACTGGGGTTATGCCTGCCCCTGTCGTATGAGATCAGTGCCGCCGTCGATCCGGTACTGCGGCCCAGATTGAAGTGCCAACGCAGCCAATTCAATATTTGGAATCCACTACTAGATATGACAGTAGACCAGCACTTCAGACTCGCTGTCAAACATAATAACAAGCGGAGACGTATAATCCACACACCATGGAGGTAGGCAAGGTCAAACATGACCAGTGCCGTACTGAGCGAAATTAAGTAAATACAATAATACATCGAAATTCGTACATTACGAGTTTTAAAAAATAGGGCAGATTGGTAGTTTATCTCCGGTAACTGCAGCTACATCTTACTAGTCTGTAGTTACGGTTCATAAATGGACAAAATACAAACAGAGATGCGTGGAATTAACAACTGACTTAATACAAGCCTCAAAAATCGATTAGCATACGGTGGAAGTAAACCTTTCCTGAGACAAATAAAGGGCTTTGTCTACAAAACGTCCGGAAGCACTGTTAATTTCGGATAGTTAAAGGGCTCAAACACTTACTTCGAGTATGTCACGTCCATCATCCAGGTAGGCACCTTTCGCAGGTACACCATTCACGCCGAGGACACAATAGCCCACTTTAATATCATCAGTTGCACCGAAGTCAACAACCAATTTTCCGTCGACGTTTTTGAATACCAGTGAGAGGGGAAACGATAGCGTTTTTTCTACTTTTGTTGTGGGAGTGTTTCGGTCGTAATACATCTGGAGGGAACCGGACTCGCTAATAATGTACACAGAGTAGACACTCATCCTTGAAAAATATCTGTGGGTGTGTCGGGAATTTCAGTGAATTAAAACGCGTTTTTCTGATTTTCTATGTATCGGAGCGAACGTTCCGTAAACTCAAATTATGATGTCACAATCTTATCCATAAATATCCAAAGTTTGTTTGTTCAAATTAAATCCCTTTTCATCAAATTTTTTAGACAGACGTCACGAGCATTTAGATCGATTTTGGGCACCAGAGTGACGCTACAAATGTCGCTACTAGTGGACCGACGACGCGCAACAGGCGGCTCGAAAAAATAACAGAATAGGCACTGAGCATTGTGTAAATTGCCACTGTGTTGAGTTTTTCGTTATTTAATCACCTCGCGCCAAGCTGGCAAAGGGTTCCATAACTTTACTGGATAAAATACAAAGACGAAATCAGTTCGGCATGTTTCAGACTATTTCAGGAATTCTCGGAGATGAAGGAGACAAGGGAACTGAAATCGATATGGGAAATTTGACGAAACTCCCCCACCATATACCCGAAATGAGAAAGTCAGTGATGCAAGAAATCCACATGATTAACAGTACAAACGCAAGTACGGCTTCGATAACTGTATTAGCCCCCTGAGAAAGAAGACTGTTTGTCTATGCATCTAATCACAACCGAGAACCGGTCTCATGTGAGAGAACAGAACGACCGAAAGGGATCTTAGAAAACGAAGAAACGTCTCGGAGCATCTCCAAAATGCAAAGTAGGTCAGAGTGTCGGTAGGAGAGAGAGAGAGAGAGAGAGAGAGAGAGAGAGAGAGAGAGAGAGAGAGAGCGAGAGAGAGAGAGCAATTTCTATACGCGATGTAAACAAATGCCGCAATTCCAAAGAAGGTATTACATGACCAAGAGCCCTCAGTAGTCGAGGAACCCTGCGGTGGCCATGTCACGACAACTGTCTCCGAATCGAACGAATATGATAGCATAGATTGGTGCTATCTAGACTCTGCGTACAAAAATATAATCCAGAGCCCTCTACTTGATCGTAGTCAGTACATTTTCATAAAGGGCATGCTTGAGTCTTCATCGGACACCCCAAAGAACAGAATAAACCAAGGCATGAAATAATTCCTGCGATACCTCAAATCCCCATTACATGAGGATGAGAATATCCCCTATAAAAAGATTGCAGGATGGGAAAAATTAAGAAATCGAAGGACGAGTCGACCCAACACAGGCCATTAAAGATCGTTCTCAAAAATGAAGAACAAGAGCTGCTAATGCTGAAAAGGAAGCTAACACTCCCAGGCACCCACCCAACAACGTTTTTCAGCGGGATTTCTCACCGGCCGATCGGGAGAAGGGGAAGGAACTCAAAGTCGAATTCCTCAGAAGATTTTCTTCTGGCGAGAAGAATCCAAGAATACTGCATGGGAAGGTCGTAATAGTTAGGAGCGAATTCCTCTGGAGACAACCAATAATGCGGAGTATAGTGGACGAATAGACTACAAAAAACGCTTTTATCCACTAAATCGACCAGTTAAAATGACAATCACCACAATGACGTCCAGTTCGATCAAACAGCAGTAGAGTCTAAATGGAACAATGTACTGGATAAGCCACATGAACTATCCAGCAGCGTCGGTCGAAAAATCGTTGGTAATCGGTCAGAGTTAACCTCCGTTTTCTTTACACAAATCCGCAGTGTGTTCCAGAAGACTGATGGACTAAAAGGCGTGGGAATCAAATACACTGCCAGATATCATTTCCATTGCAGAGACTTGATTGATGTCTCGGATGCCGAAATTGTTTTCGGTGAATATCAATTTTTTTGCCCAGCGGGCTGCATAAAAAGGAGCGGGACCAGAGATCTTCGTCCAGAAAGAAATCGCTGCATCAGAAAACAAAAAGGTTTGCTCCCGTGACTTGAAGCAATGTGGTCAAAATTAATAATGCCTGGCCCACCTAGTCTAAATTTTCTGACTGTATCCAGGTCGCCCAACCAAATTCCAGAGATCAACAGGGCGATGTTTAGGCTAATTAAAGAAGTGGCCGAAGACGAACCCGGAGACTTCGACGCAGCGATGGTCGACTGGAACAATCTATTAGTAAACGGTTGGCGTAAATCCTTGATTTCAGGCCCTTTAAACCAACAACCAATCCCTTTCTCGTACATAATGTCATGTTTCCAGCAAGAATCAGAGAGATACAAAGAGTACATTGTCTGGCTCTTTTCCTCAGAAAACACCAATTAGTGCTGACGAACTTAGGTCCATAGCAGCAGTTCGTAAGACAGACCATGTCCTGATTCTTTGGGAATACCGCTTATACAGCCACCAACTGCAGACGACTGGGCCTTGGCTGAATTTATTTCAAGGAACTTTTGGCGCAATGAGAAGTGAATTGCCGGTAGAAAACTAACATAACGTTCTTACCGGACATCCAGATGTTGATTGAAGCATTTCCAAAGGAGTTATATGCGATGTAATGCATCTAAACCGTCCGACTAATAGAGCCCAAGAGACATATGTCCTGTCTAGCGGACGCGGGATATAAAGAAGGAGATGGCTTGCAATTAGGGCCAAGGCGCGCAGTTCAACTTCAGAGATAAATGACGCGTTGCTTTTACTTTGATATTCCTAGGCAGTTAATATATATTTGCCATTGGCTATTTCCGAGGTAGCATGGGCCACGGAATCCATAGAGTTGACACCAGAGATTTCATTCAAGCAGCCTTCCTGAATGGATTGCAGAAGTGCGCGGCGAGTATGTTTGTGGTATTTAAATTCAGCACATACGGAGTAAATGTAACAAATTTCCCGAGTAAGCCGGCGTTGAGTTGGACACCAAAAACTGCCGCGCAGCAGTGCCTGTGCGAAACTTACCGGCATGACCAAGGTTGATATGAAGACTGGAGAGTGTGAGATGAAATGTGCCGTGGGGCAAAACCAGGAGAAGTGGATCGCAGCGGAATATTGGCGGTTTAATACGTTGACATAGGGACTAATACCGTTCCACGCTGACTAGAAACAGCTCGTTTCTTAGCAGGAGCGTTCATATCTTTGCCTGAATAGCTTTATGCCCTCGACGTAGACGATCGTAACTTAGATATATATGAGCAGAATTTTATTACCGACAAAAACAAGGAAGGTTAGAATGGTCACTTCTGGCTTATTAACTGTCGTCAGTCATTCATGCCCAACCCCGAAGTGTGGAAAGCCTGGGGCTCGATCCCACAACCTGCTAGTTAGGCGTCCAACGCCTCTAACCACTAAGCCACGGGTTTGTCGTCTTTCGGGTTTCGATAGAGAATGTATAATGGCAGAGAAATACTCACCGATCGTTCTTACGGAACTCGCTCGTCCCGTTGTGCTTTACGGTCTTTTTCTCGAGCCCAACCAACAGCCGCACAACGGCGCATGATAAAGGTGAGCGCCCCTCTGCCACTGTATATTCCTGACCGCAACTGACAGGACACCGAGCCCGTAGCTCAGTGGTTAGAGACGTTGGACGTCTAACCAACAAGTCACGGGATCGAGCCGCAGGTGTTCCACACTTCGGGGTTGGGTACGACTGCCTGACAACGGCTAATAAGCCATAAGTAGCCATTCCAGTCTCCCCTGTCTTTGCCGGTAATAACATCCTGTCTATCTCATGCGCCGCTGTCCAGCTGCTGGTAGGGCTTGAGAGAGAGCCCGTTAGACACAACGGGAAGGGTGAGTTCCGTAAGAACGTTTGGTGGGCGTCCCCTAACCAAGGTATATGAGGTTCTGCGGCTCAAGCCAAAGCACATTTTAGGTGCACAGAGGCAGTAATCGCAATGGCAGTCGTCGGGGGTATATATAGAGCGGCGGTGGCGTCTGTGACCTGCGAGACAAGGTGTCCGCATTCTGGTGATTTTGCCGACACATTTGGTGAGGGCGCATGAATACATTTATGGGTTTGTCTGCCAGGGAGCATGCTGACCAGTCGGGTCATTGAAGCTTTCCAACCAGCGAAGTGCCTGGTGATCGGGCGTAATATTAAACGTCTACTGATGAGGTAGTGGTGAACATTCTTGTACAACGTCATGACAATTACAGCCTCCTTACCCTCGCGCTTAATGTGCATCTGGCTGGCAGAAACAGGCAGATGTGCAGGCTCGTCAGCTTGCTGTCGAGATAGAACTGCGCCGGTAGCTACACTCGAAGCCAAAATGCCAGAGAATACCGTTAAGTCGCTCTTAACATAAACGGCAACTCCTCCGCCCTGGCGATTCCTCCTATCTCTCATAAACAATCGGTAGGCTGATAATGCTACCTTGCAATCACTTACGTTCTATGACAGACACGTTTCTGTGATTGGTATAACGTTCGGAGACGTATTGGCTATCTGTATTCTCTGTTCGTCGAGCTTGAAAAACCGTCTCTGAGCATTGGTGTACAATGATTTCAGTCTGCCAAATTCGTAGCGCTTAGTCTGGTTTGACCGAAGTTTGCGAATACTACGTTGCCGCCGTCATCAGAACAACCGGTTGGTTCTAAAACAACGTCGCGCTCCTTCGTATCACTCATCCCCTGAAAAAACCCAAGGTTCTCTCTCCAGCTGCAAGTTTCCTATTTAACTCCGTCACTAACTCACGGCGTTTCAGACAATCCACTGGAGGGTGATCCGGCTGAAAAAACCTTGTGAGAGTTTCCGGACTGCGTTAACTGGAGAGAGCTAAACTAGCTTCCTCTTTACTGCGCAAAACAATCTAAAGTGGTCGCGACCGCAGAGTTTCTGATTGCTCGTTCATCTCCCTTCCGATCCTGAAGGCTACGCGAATGGCAAATTTTCATTGGAATCAAGTATATTGCTCAAAAGACGTTGAAAATATGTCAAGATCAGCGGAAATCCTCTCCTTTGGGGTAGGAGAATTCGATTCCGACAGGCCATGGACAACTACGGAATTCTGGCGATCGAGGGGTTCCACTGCTCTAGTTCGACCTTATTGTCCGCTGAAGGTCCCGATTACTAGCAAGGACAAGACGCGCAGCTCAATTTCAAAAATCCCTTTGGTCCAAGTT